GATGATGATGACGAGCGTTCTGGACGACCATCTTCGAGCGCAACGCCCGAAAATGTTACGAAGATCGACGTCGTACCATCAACGATTTGTGCGACATTGTTGGGATAGGCTATGGGACCTGTCAGCTGATTCTAAAGGAAGAACTCCACATGCGGCGCATCCTGTCTGAGGACCAGAAGCAGAATCGACTTCTCGTTTGTCAGGAGCTCCAAGATCTTGCAAGAACCGACCCCAACTTCCTTTCTAAGCTCCGTGTGACTTCTTCCTCTTCCCAAAGATGAAAATTCAGCTAAAGGGAAGGAGATTTGAGACGATAGAAGAGATTCAAGCAGAATCGCAGATGGTGCTTGACAGGCTGACAAAGAAAGATTTCCAGGGATGCTTTCAGGTTTATCAGCGACGCTGGGATCGTTGTGTTCACTCCCAAGGGAACTACTTCGAGGGTGATGGATGAATTTAATACCTGAGATAAGTGTACGGGTTTTTATAGGCGCAGTCTGGAAACTTTCCGATCGCTCCTCGTAATGCAAAACTCAAGGAGGAAAAAACTATTAATGCTTACTTCATGAACTTACACCAAGGTTCTGCGGCGAGGTATTGATGTTTGAAGACAAATTCTTTTTCAGAAATAAAATTATGAAATGAAATTGAGGTTGTAATATCCAGCTCGGGCGTTGTACATTTTAGTGTTGCAATTAGTTTCGCTGCTTTTATCATGGTTAACAACGGAGTATAAATATCGCGTTGTGGTTTTCATGGAGTATTTTGAGTAGTTAAAGCCAGACCTACATTTTTTTTTAAAAAAAAGGATGTCGGATCATGATGTCTGAATACCTTCATTACAGAACTGATAACTTCTTGTAATGCGGAAGGCATTTGATGAATTGTCGATATTTTCAACACTGTCACAAGTTATTGAGTAATCTGTTAGGGCCTACACGTATATAGATTTGTGTCCCAGTGGTTGTTATCCCACTTTTAATGAAGACGCTCAATTTTGCCAAGTCCTTAAAAATCGATCCCTTCCTGAATGTCTGTACATTTTCGACGTGTTATCAACACCAGCAGAATCCCCCAGGTTTGCTGATTTGACCCATTTTGAAAGGAAGGTTGCGGAATTGAAATTATTTCCGCCTGGAACGTTAGTTCTTTCTTCGACAGCGCTCCCTGTCACAGACATACAGACGCTGGAAGTGCTTCTACGTCGTAATTACTAAACAGAAAATATATATTATATATTAAATCTTGTCCGTCTAATCACAATAAATTCTTATTAAATATTAAAATATTACAATAATTAACATTTAAAATATTTAAAATATTAAATGATGTTCTTTATCGAAATATTCGATTTACATTAGACCATCATTTTTCACGACATGTTTCAGTTCCTAAAAGAACTATCTTCAGGTGTATATAATTATATAAAGATTCAAATCAATAATAACTTAAATACAATGTCGTGAAAAATGATGGTCTAATGTAAATCGAATATTTCGATAAAGAACATCATTTAATATTTTAAATATTCTAAATGTTAATTATTGTAATATTTTAATATTTAATAAGAATTTATTGTGATTAGACGGACAAGCTTTAATATATATTTATTATATCACAATATGACGCAACTTTACCATCTCATAAACAGAAAATACTGAAAAGTAGGCGCATTTTATTTGTAGCTTGTTTGGCGATCTGGCAAAAGCTCAAATTGTCTGCTGAGAGAATGATTATGAATTGGGAAGGATGTGGAAGGAAGCGACGTAGCCTAATTGAATGTACCACCCGGCGTGCCCCTGGAGGACCTAGGGAAACGACGAAAATGTCAGGATAGTAGGTTTCTAGACCGATATTCGAACTCGGGACATGCCGCATGCATAGCAAGAATGCCCAACACTCGACCGCGACGTTGTATTGAAGGTTGTTAAGTTTATGATGCTAGAAATGTATCAGACTATTCCAAATTCACCAGTTTAAGTTCTGTGAGCGTCCGTTGACTCGAAAATTTCTGGCGTTAGACAGGTTTCAAGAAATGATGGTCATATATTTTTCTTGTTGGCGATCCCACATCCGGGGTTAGCTAAATGATAAACATCTTGATTTATCCTCTTCCCGATGCGACCGGAAGTGTAATTTCCCGATTTTAAGCTTTTAGTATCTCGCAATTGGAAAAGTACTAGGCACTTCCTACGCTGTACTTAAAACTTGTCAAGAATTTTTGTTTGAATTGCTTCGCCCGTAGGAGAAACTTTTGTCTTAAAAATTTAATAACCCTTCCGTCGGGATTAAAAAAGAAACTGCCTCCGGATGAAGTGGGAGTTGGTATCGTGTGTTGTAGACCGACAGCTTGGCTGACTCTCTCGTTGATTGAGGTTAAGTCAAGGAGTCAAGATCATCGTATCTTGCCAGTTATTACTGAGTTCACCGGCCGATTAGTATCTCTCACCTCTAATAGGCTGATAACTTATCACATAACTCACTTCTTGAAAAACTAATAGTCAATATCTCGTCAGATTCCCCATTCTGTGTGGTTAATGCTGATAGTATTTTCTTCCTGCAGAACGAAAAATTTTCCATATAGATCGTTGGTTGTTAATATACAATTAGCTTATATTTTACTCAACAGAATAAAATATATAATATATGCTGGAAGGCTGAAAGCCCCCGTACACAATACGAAGTGCCTGGAATTGAAGGGCCTCATTACTGTTCGTCGCTAGCACACTGCAGACTGCGGCGTGCGCCGTCCACATGTCTTCTCGTTCATCAGACGTCGATCATTATTTCCCTTAATGTGGATATAAATTTTAAAGCAGAGTACTCCACCGATCACCTGAGGACAGAAGTTTTAAAAATACATAAATTTAAATAAATTCCAGCAAAATAAGTGAAATTTTCCTATTCAATTTACTCGGAACTTTATTATAATTACGATACTTTAATAAATGAATTGAGTTGAATTATTAAAGTAATTTAAGCTTAAATTATTCTAGTTGTTTACTGATAAAGGAATCCTAAGTGTCATACAATTCGAGTAAAGAGCTGTTGTTGAAATAAAACCAAGATATCTGCAGCCTATTTAAAGAGTGCATGCCGGTATATAAAAAAATGAAATGCACTTATATGAAGACCACACTTTTGTCTGCGTTAATAGCATTCCTCTTTCGTAATTCGGGTTCTTGAGGTTCTTCGTTCACTGTCCTGAGTTATTCTAGGCAAACACAGAAATAATATCTTGGATTGGGCTACGGACGTTTCTTTTCACATCTTTTCTAATTCACTGTTCATTAAAAGTCCCATTATTCGACACTGCGAAATAGTAGCTATTTGCAGGGTCCTTAAAGAAACATTAGCCCGTTTGAAGAACATGAACATTTAAGAGATGATAATGTTGCGTCATATTGTGATAAATATATATTTGTTTTGATTTTATCAGTCTAATCACAATAAATTTTTTATTAAATATTAAAATATTATTACAATTAACATTTAATATTTAAAATATATTAAAATGATGTTCTCTATCGAAATGTTCGATTATGGGAAAAAGTGATGTTCTAATGTAACGCTTCCGAATGGAATCTATTGTTTCCCCTTTCTTGAAATTACAGACTTGAATCGAAATTAATTTTCGCTGTTCTAGACAGCTGACACTTATTATTTGTGTCTTGATTAAATAAGATGTATGGTGGTCATATAGGAACAAAAACGGAGTCATGATTACTAATTACTGGGGAGCGTTGTGGATGCCAGTGCATTTGTAAATAATATTGTTACTTCGTCCGAGCAGCGTCAGTGAATACACGATTCCAACTGCAAGTATTAAAAGCAGGACAAATGAGATGGTTTCTGGTGCTCTACGGTGTACAAACAAATCCCTGCGTATACTTGGCTAGGGCTTCTGTTGCTGATTTGTACGCCAGTCCAACGCGTTTACAAAAGAGGACTAGCATTTGTCTTCGCCAACCTCCTCCGCGTCACAGGAGCATACTGCCTTTTTCTTCTATGTGTATATCTCTCGCTCTGTCATGAATTGTCCCCGGGAACATTAACGCGATTCGTCTTTTTATTGTGTTTTAACCTCCTATTTATTTTTGTAGGAAGTAGTGGGTGCAGTTGTACAGTCTGGTTGTAAAAAACGTGTACATAGGACGAATAGTATAATTTCTCTCTCAGTCTAGTCTATTTAAAGCTTAATTTGGTTATAAGTTTGTTATTCTAAATATGCACCAAATGTAAGATATTAATTGCCTTCTGATTTGTTTCGATTCGTAATTAATTGAGAAACTATGGAATTTGAGACATTTTTAGGAATTCTTGGCCGTAGTCCGAGAATTGACTTTTACATAGCGCGATCACAAATCTGAATTATTATTGGATAATATTAATGCCAGTGGCTTTAATATTATAAGTGTGAATTGAATGACTTGAGGAAGTGTTACAATTTTATGTACTGTAATAGTAAGGGATACCGAATGACTTTTCTCCCACTCGTGCTTTGTTACGTTAACTATCAGGAAAGTTTTAGCATTTATTGATGATACTAGAAGAGAATAAAATATTTAAAATTTGGATTGGGCATTATATCTGGGAAAATCACATTCAAGTGAATGCAATTTACACAACGTTTCAGGATTCGTTACTACTCGCGTGTTGAGGTGAGTGATTGATTGGCAACTGTTGCTACTTTTTATGACGTCAGTGGTAATGGTTAGAATTGAACCTGGGTCATTTCAAACGCTAGTAAGCATATCAGCAGACACAAAATTCCGACAGCATAACCCAAGTGTAAGAACAAATATTATAGAATAAGGTTATTTTAGGCAACAAATTAAAGTAAGTTTTACACATCATTCATTTAATTACACTTACAGTACTTGGGCTAAAGTACTGTTCCTTATATTCCTCAGAGCGGGCCTGCCTACTGCTGCGTTGCGAAAGATTCATCTTACGTAATATTTATGAACTTACGTAAACAGCAGCGCACAGACCTACGTCCGACATCAATATTCACAGAATCTTCTGTAAAAACTTTCTCGCCTTCGAGCAGTGCCTTCGGTTTGTTTCTTGCAGTAAATTATGTTAAATTAACAGTAAAATGCTTACCCACTGTCATGAAAGTACAGGCTCAGTAATAATTTAATTCACCACAATGCTTGTCCACAGGTTGTGGTGCATGACAATAGCGTACGGTCAGTTCCATTTTTAATTCACAGAATCGACCGAAATTATTCAGAATTACTAAAAGTTTCCCACACACTTATGTCCCTTTAATGACTCTGCAGACAGCTTCTTGTTGATTAATTAATACATACTTTATTTAAAGACACGGTAAGCAGCGAAGATTATGTTATAGTTATGAGGGTGAGAACAAAATTGGAAAGGACATGTAAGGAAGCTGTCGTAGCCTTATTTATGAACTATCCCAAATAAAAACTAAGGCTGCTAACCACTCGGCAATGACGTTCAGTCTACGATCATTTGTCAGTGGGATAACACATTCGGCATCAGAATGATAGCTCTTAGTTAATTATAGTCGAACAAGAAGCGAATAGGTGATAAACAAACAAACGAAGATAAAACAGGGTAGAGCTGATACTAAACTGTTAACTGTATTGAAAGACTTCAGTTTCTTGTAACCAGGACTGATAAAATTACTTCCAGAGACTTCCTGATATAATATTAGCGATGAAAGATTCGGAAAAATGTTGACTGAAAATGATTAAGTTAAAATATCACGTAGAAGGCGAAGGTATAGATTTCAGTTCAGGTGTCATCGAGTCGGGGCCTACCCCTAGTGACATTATGAACAAAATCTCTCCATCCTCTTCTGTCTTTAGTAACTGTCCTCAGTTCTTCCATGGTCTTTCCACAGAGTTCCCGGATTCCATCATAGTCATCATTCGGGTTCCATAAAAGGGAGGAATTATATTGACTGGCTAAGTACTATAGCTTCTGAAGAACTTTGCTACATATTCCTAATTATTTATAGATGGAAAGACAACCACGTAAAGAATTATAAAAAACCCAAACAAACAAAACAGCCGACCGGGGGCAGTGCTGTATGCATAATTTGTTATGGAAGATAAATAAAAACGAAAGGTGCCTTTACATAGTAAACACTTGTAATCCAAGAGCATGTAAGAGGTCTGTATTGCATGTTATTCTGAACATTATAACCATTACACAATTAATTTTAGACTGATTTAAAATGTTGTTTCCCTGGTACTTGAGCATATTATGTTAGTTGTATTACACCGGTGGCTACAAAATATGTAACATGAGACAATGTTCGTGCGTTCTGACGCGAATTTAATTTCCACATGTTTCAGATTTACGCAATCAGATACTTGGAAGAATAATCTTAATTTCTTTAAAATTTCTGTGCCTTAAAAGTTCTCTGACGCAGTACGTTATTGGTTTAAGGCTCTAACTTGTGTATGACGAATTCTAAATCAATAAATTACTATCAACGAAACAATCCCCGTTTGCTAAACGAGGATAAAGTGTACTCTTAAGTTCCATTTACGTTATTTGTTATTTAGTATGGATCGGAATGACGTTCATCTTGATTCTTGATGGAAGAAAGAAAGTTGGATAATGGACAACATTTCTTGTCCCTGTGCTGAAATCTGGCACCATGTTTCGTACTGTGAAAGAGGTCATTAAAAGCAACACGACCCTGCACTTTGAACACAAACTGTTCACTTTTGTTGACACTCCAAATGAAGTAAATTTTTCGAAAACCTATAGCTGATATTTAAAACAACACCACCGTCGTATGCAATAGTCGACATTCATGAAGGCTTATACGGTTGAAATCATAGAAATATTTAAACAAGAATTGTTTTGCTACATTTAAATAAATTCAGTAAAGACGACAATCACGAGAATGTTTTATAAGGTTTATTGGTTAAAATTCGTAAAATGCTAAACTATGCCGAAGTAATGTAATTGTGAAATAAAATGTGAGCTTTCATTGAAAGCAAGCTAGTCAAGGCATCGATACGAATAAATTTAAAATACTTCAAATCCACATCTTAAGAATGTTAGCACGCCCATTACATCTCTTTGATCTATGCGGGGTTTATTCTTAGGTAAACACAACATTTGATAATTGAATATGTTTTAAACTTTTCCACATAATTGTCCAGTGACTTCGTGTCCATCCACCAGGTTATTTTCGCCGCGGGGCGCGATCCCACTGACTGGAACTCAATCCGATCTGCTGAGAGAGATTGGTTACTGCTCAAGAAGGACGCACTCAAAGGTTTTACTGAAAATAAAAGAACAACGTGATCAGTTTTTATCAGATATTATTTATAGGAGGCTAATTCAGTAATATCTAATGACAGGGGTGTTTTAAGTATTAATTACTACTGCAAAAAAATCACAAATATTTTTACTTTATATACTTATTATATACTTTATTGATCTAACTTCGTATTCAAATTAAACATAAATTTCTATTAGCTTAAGTACACAGAACTGAACTTAAATGTCGTAGTTGGTGTCACGGTGAGAATTTTTGACACGAACACAAAAGGGCACTAACATGTTTTATACACTAAATGTGGCCATGGATTTAGTCTTCTTGGATATACATTGAAGAGTGATGTGTTGATTGACTTATACAGCAAATAATTTGAAAACGATAGTTTGATTCTTTGTTGTTGAAAGGCAGATAAGCAAAGTTGTGGTCCTTGATTTCGATATTCTTAGATTTCCCACACTCTAGATTACTTGTTTGGAGACTCAGACATTTTGTTTCTGTGCGGTACTGAGAGAAAACATTTCATTGACTATCAATTTTTTTTCTAAATGGCCCAGTTCTTGCAGCGGTCTTATCAAAATACCCGGGAGAATTTCTGGTTTATTCATGTTTTTGGCAAACGAAATGCAGAGTGGATAAAGAACCTGCTGCTATTATAAACAAGGCAAAATCTACAGCGTTGCCAATCAAAATAAAAAATGAATCCGGTTATCAGATGGGGATACCTCGTGCATACACACCGCACAACTATAAATGTTTTATTTCCGATTAATGGTTCCAAGGGCAAAATAAATTCAATTTGATTTGTGAACAGTGCGTGATATTAGTGTGCCAACAAGGCAAATAAGAGAATTTTATACTTTTAACTGCGTTAAGACATATTCTTTCAGCCACGTGTGTCGTTGCTGCGAATAACACGTGCAGATTCCTGGTCATGTCCCCTGTGAGGACATTTTTTTCGATAAGTGTAAGTGTTTAGACGGATTATACGCACAAGTACTTATTCTTGTTTTGTTGTCACCTATTTGTTTTCCATTCTTTGTATTTATCTTCTTCTACTTCATAAGATGATAAAGTTGCGTCATATTGTGATAAATATATATTTAAATCTTGTCCGTCTAATCACAATTTAAAATTTAAAGTTTAAGATATTTAAAATACCATGTGATGTTCAAACTGTAGCGAGATTGAAGTACAGAGTTAATTTAGAAGGGGCAACGCAGATATGGACTACACAGTAGTTAGTATTGTAAGGGACTATTGCGGTATTCGTCTAGAGGGACTGAGGAAAACAATTAAATTCCTCCACTAAATTTCCGATAATTGTTTTTCGCTTGTAAAACTAATCGACACATACTCATAACCCTTATTTTAAAGATGACTGTCTTCTGTGTTCTAGCGCCGTTTAATCTGGAATAAGTTTACCTTCTACTACACGCCGTTACAAGCAAGAAGACATCTGTCTTCGGACTCACCGCAGTGAAAACTTCAAAGAGTCAATCAAGGCTAATTTCATGGCATGGCATGTATGGCTTTAATAAATCTGTGTCTCCTAACATTCATAATTAAAATCACCTACATATTAAACAAAAATAAATTATAGATGTACTTACATAATGTACGAGGTCGTAGGTTTTGTGGATGACATTTACAAAGCTGCAGAAATTGCCATTAAAACTACCAATATACAGAACTGCATTACCGAGCACATCAAATCTAAACAAAAATTTGATATCATGAAATCAGAAAATATGTTCCTCTTCCTGTTTTTATTCATTTTCTGTATAATACGAGGAAGCAAAACCAGGAACCGTTGATGTAATGCAGCTCTTAAAGGCAACGTAAACTAGCTGATATTCCAAGCACCGTATTCGCAGCGAATGTATACTTAAGACGTGCTTGCCATTCCGAAACTCAAAGCCGTCCGGAGATAGGGATTAGCTCTATCTAGTGGGCCCAACTGTGTAGGAACCTGAAGACGGAGATAGAGTCCCATCTCCGAAACGTCTTTTTTACGTTTTATATTTACTAGACGATGGATAATATCCAAGAAAATTTTTATTCAACAGTCTGGAGACGTTCTTGTCAATATAGCCCACAAGCAACAGCTTTCTTGAGAACGGAGCACACCAACCATCGTGGAACTGACTGATACGAAGTAAACAAGTGAACGCACTCACAGGTTCAACTGCAAATACCAACTGCATTAATAAAATAATCCCACATATAAAAGACGCTGCGCAGTATTACAATGTACCTTAAACTATTTTAATTTTTAACTAAAAGTTCAGGTGTGAAAAGGATGTGATTTCACAAACATCTGAAAAAGTTGTCAGTGGAACCAGGGTTCCGGAGAATTTGACGTAAATACGTCTATACGGAAAGGAAGTTTATATATTGACTTTATTCTAAATATTTCCTTTATACATGCTTTAAAATTGAGATAACTTTGATTAAGACTTTGCTTATTTAACTTGAATTAGTTACGCTTAAGATGGGTCTGTGGTAGATGAATGTAATGTAATGTAATGAAATGTTTTATAGGTAACAACAATGCCGAGTAAACAGATGACGTTTCTTAGGTAACAAAAATGCCGAGTAAATAGATGTTCCTTAGGTAACCATTATTGTCGATTTGTTGATAAAAAGATGAAGTTTCCTAGGTAACCATTGTTGTTTATTTGATGATAAACCATTGTTACACTTTTTCGTTTCACTTTTTGCCGAATGACACTGATCCTAAAATATATACGTATTTACGTCAAAAAAAGTGTTTTCCATTAACTTGTATTTGTTTCTGTCCTTCACTGTATGTACTCCTGACCGAGGAATCTGTCACTCGTTCAGTGACATTTTAAATAATACAAATAAAAAAAGGCTTTGGTGTTGCCTCACTGTAGCAGTGAACCCTCAGAATTTCCATATCTTTTAAACTGATGTCGCTAAGTATTTTTCTGTAAACAAAGTGTAAAATATGTTTATTTGTAATATTATTATTATTTTTATTACGCAACGTACATTTTATCGGAAATGTTACAAAGACTTACCTAATGTCGCCAACACAGACAAAGTGCAATTTAGCTGGTTTTATCACATTTTTAAACGGATATGGATTATTACCATAAAAGCGACTATACTAATAAATGGACCAGTTTTCTAACTGGCGAATTAAAACATCATTTTGTATTTAATGCTAATTTAATATCGTCAATTACATTCGTGGTAACCTAATGGAAAAAAGAAAATAGAAATATGTGGTGAGTAACTGGGGTGGTGGTGTACTTGAATTTTCTCAGTGTGGCTTCCTCAGTTTTAGTCCATAAAAAAAACATTGCCATCCACAACCTCTTTTCAGGGACGTAGCGTCTTTCGTCCACGAAACCAGTTATTTTTAGCTGGTATAAATTCTGTAAAGCAGTGCCTACGGGCACATTTAAGAGTTTATGAGATCGTGGCGGGCACAAACTAATTAACACAAACAAATTTTCTTTTCTCTGGACAAATAAGATATGGACACAAAACAATACGATGTTTAATGATACAAGAAACCACACAATCAAAAATACGTACTTTTATAAGTACAATTATTATATCTTAAGTGGGAAGTTAGTGTGATGTTTGGCGCACATTTCATCGGTCATTTTTCAAATTTGGGAGTGTAGGATGATGTTGCTGCTCGCAAACAATTGTCAAGATGGGCGTCAGTAAGTAGAGATCTGCGCTTTGATTTTATAATGTTCATGGTTAAACGGCCTTCATTATTCAGTATAACTTCTTTCCGCGGGCACCCAAAAAAGCCTTGGCGGGCTCCCGCGGGTACCGCGTTGGAGACCACTGTTACGTTTCGAGGTTCCTCCAGGTGATCAGTGTGGCAGTGTTATATAGCGAAATATCTACATGTTTGTTATGGATGTTCTTTAAATATTCTGAAATTACCGTAATAAGTTTCAGTCTAATTAGTGATAATTCAGTTCAGTTCAACTGTTTAAATAAATCAACGGCTACAGGTGTCAATTAATGAATCAGCAAACGTAGTTGTAATAAATGTATATATAATTAATCTAAACACTTTATAGCTCGGAGAAAGTGTCATGAAATGTGACTTTGCCAAAAATGTCGAGAAATCTGCACCTGTAATTTTCTTTAATGTTGCATCAGGCTCAACTGTCGTATATTAATGCATTACTCAACATGAAAGTTGAACATTATATAATATTCCGCTCACATGACACCAATAGCAATATTGTTTTTATTTTCACACAAACGCTGTGTCTAAGAGTTCATTACACAGCATTAAAAAAGTTTATCACCAAGGAAATGCAACATCAGCAACCTCTCTAAGGTACGTACCATTTCTGTAGTCGCACGCTGGCATGTTTACATCCCGAAGGTCAATCGATTTTGTAGCAGAGCGCTCGTAAATATTTACACCGCATGATGACTCCAGAGGATCACAGACCATCACATTCAAATGACTTCAGTTGCTGTCGGAAGTGCCTCGGTGAATTATCAGCCTCTGAAACGATTCTTGCCTCAACAGTACATCTAAATGTCTCTTAAATCCTTTGCAAACTCCATACCCGTCTTCACCCTTCAGCGGGCAACGAGAACTGAACATCTGACTCTGAAATGCACATCTGAGCTTCGAAATCAAATCCTATAATCCCCGAATAATTGTCCTCCTCCCCCCACACGGCATAATAAGTAGGACTCCAGCTCCCTTGCTCACCGAGGGCACCCGAAATTCATCCCTGGGGACTAGAACGCGAAACGCGGTCCTACGGACGCATCTGAAGTGTTAATCCTTTCGTCATGCCCACAAACCCACGGCGATATTAGGAGTGCCTCGTGTGAACAAAGAGATACATACAAGCACTCCAACACTTTAATATATTTTTAAAAAAAGCCTTTATATTCTTTTTGAAAAATGTCGACTTTTTCACAGCTTCTCCACGAAGAGCAAACGATTATCATGTCCAAATTGGTCTATCAGTATAGTGCATTAAATTACATAACAACTGTCTCCTTCCAAACATTTACTTGCTTTCCACTGCTTCAATCCCATTTTATTCTGCACTGCAATTTATTTGTTAAAAGGGATTTGTCAAACACATTGAAGAGATTGATTCTCCATTCTTACACTCCCTTCCACGTAACACAAATGCAGCTCATGACAATAAATAAAGAAATCAGTTACATTTAAATCTTCTCTGAGAGAAGTTAAAACCACTCGTTACCAAGGCATTTACTTCTCTCTATTAATGTTTATTACAGATTAATGCATTGGCGTCACAATTCGCAACGGACAGAGCACAGCACTACAATCAGTGTAGTATCATTTCTTGCACAGTTTGGCGAAAAATAAGCCACTTTTTATTTATTTCTTTCGTCAGAAACGTCGGCTGTTGCCACGTCCACACTATTTGCGCATAAAATTAGCTCGTTGTACGCTACGATATCCATAAGAAATTTAGTCTACGGATCGTACGCTGAACTCTTTACAAGCCACTTTCTTTACAAAATACGACTCCAGTCAATATCAACACAAGGATAAAAATTTAAAAATGTTATGCAATCTTCGAAACTCGGCTACTTAAACCAAACTTTATACAAAAATCAGATAGTGACGAAGGATGAAAGTTGTGATATAAATGGTATCTTAGTAATATTTCAGTATTTCATTAAAAATAGTAATACTTAGAACTACGTGAAGACGAAATTAGAAGAAGGAGTGAACAATAAATTAAGCTGTCATTGTCTTCAATTTAGACGTATCATAAGATTATCGAAAACCACGTGTAAGAAATCACTTCTGCTTAAATAACAATTCTGATCACCGTGGTCAGTCAATCTAGCAGAGAAGGCGGTCATATAGGTTTATAATGGTAATAATGATGATGAAGAAATATTAGTGGCTATATTCATAAAATAAAGTAACTGTAAGTATTTATAATAACATTTGTTTATTACAAAATTTAATATTCTCTAACCATTGAATTTTGCCAAAAAAATGTAGATAAATGTACTCAGAATCCACTGGTGCAAGTTTAAATTATAAATGAAGACACAAACTTTCATTGAAATTGTGTTTATGGTCGAAACTGTGAAGATAATGTGACTGCCAACAGAGTGCATGCTAGACAGAGACGGAGAGACTTCTATTGGAAAACAATGAAGTGTTTTTTATGTGGTTTCCATTCCATTATATTGATAACAAATGAGGCATTCTGTTACTGGAATTTCTGGTGGAAACATACGGAATATGCACATGAGATTAATCCAAATTAAGCATAATTAATGCTTATTGTAATACGTATATCCAACACCCTGTTTCGCCATTCATCTTCGGTGGGACTTGACTAGTCAGAATCTCGGGAAATCCGGATTGAAGTCACATAGACCTGCGTAATATTGCAAAATTTTATTCTTTACAATTTTTATATAAATTTCGATGTTAATTAGATTGACATTATCGTTTTCAGCTAAGTTTGTGTGTATATTCGTAGGTTTAAAATTATTTTTGTTCTTAATTGTATTAGATATTCAAGCTTTAGGTTCCGTCTATTTTTTTCATTTTCTGTATATTTACGCTTATTATTTGGTATGTTGTATGATACAATAACTATTCTGTCATTTTTTCTGTTAACCAGAAGAACTAGAACTTTCCAAGATAATTTATAAGAGCGATATTAAATTTTAACTGGCTCCTATGACTTATTTTCCTTCTTTTTTACTTGAGGCTTGATCGTCCTTCATAACTGTCATTCTTTCAATTTTTTTCTTTTGTTACCGTTTTATAAATTCGTTTAAATTGTGTTTGGTGTGTTCATGGTTTCCAGTTGGTGCTCTGTGAAATGTTTTATTGCTTTCTCAATATTTTCTTGGACCAAATGACGCATATTCCTTAAAATACGAACACCAAGCCACCAGAACCCACTTTCTTTTTAATTTCCTGTGATCAGTAATACCAACATGACGATCGTGCGAACTTCGGAGGTGAGCGGGACACGTAAGTTTAAGTATGACCCGTGGTAATCCATCTTGGAAAATAAAGTAACCTTTTCATTTTATTTTATGGTTTAAGAATCAAAAGGTCTTGCAAAGTATATATTGTATATTTACAGCCTCTGTTTCGCCGCTGTTTTATGTGGGCTTTATAAAGTCATCACCCGAATCACTTGTTCTGACTCTGTGAGACGAAATGAATTACTCGAGTCCAATCTCGCCAGTCGTAAAAGAGCTCCGCCCTTTCCAGGCAGCTAATGCACTTCGCCCAACGCGGACCTGCTTGTTTGAATCTTCCTGGCAATTTTCAGTGTCTTCTGTTTTCCCGATCTCAAAGCAAGACAGGCTTATGTACCCACGTTCGTGTCTCTTCCC